CAGACCAAGGGATTCATGCTTACTCCGTTGGACTATGTGCCCCTCGAGTGGGGCTGGAACTTCTCGAGCGAGCAGTGTGTGGAGGGTATGGTCGGAATTCAAGGCCAAAATCTACGGTACGTTTCATTGTTCTTTTCCAATAATTCATCCTATGGCATTCCCATCGGTCGTATGATGAGAACTTCAATCCGAAATTCTATGTGGAACGTACTTTTTAGTTTATATCTCCAATTGTTCCTACTGAGATCGAGCCTTCCCGAGCCTTTTATTTCATTCATGTTAGTTTTGATGGCCTTTGCTAATATGTCCTGACAGAATTTTCTCAATCGAGAAGCTGGACAACAACATGCTCCAGCATTCGATCCCTCTCTCATATACCCCTCGTCGCTTCGTGAAGCATCCTGATCAACCGTTGTTCTATGTGATCGAATCAGATAACAACGTTCTGTCGCCGTCCACAAAAGCCAGGCTCATTGAGGACTCCAAGGCACGAAATGGCGACACCACTATTCTCCCACCCGAGGAATTCGGCTACCCCCGTGGAACCGGTCATTGGGCCTCGTGCATTCAGATCGTTGATCCCGTCGATGCCAAGGAAGTGGTTGCGACCATCGAACTCGAAGAGAATGAGTCAGCGGTCAGCGTTGCGGCCGTTTCCTTCACCAGCCAAGACGATGAAACATTCTTGGTGGTCGGAACCGCCAAGGACCTGACCGTCAGCCCGCCCTCTTCCGATGGAGGATTTATCCACATCTACCGATTCCAGGAGGACGGTAGAGAGCTGGAGTTCATTCACAAGACGAAGGTCGCCGAACCCCCTCTGGCTCTTCTTCCTTTCCAAGGTCGTCTTGTGGCCGGAATTGGCTCGATTCTCCGGGTTTACGATCTCGGTATGAAGCAGCTTCTTCGCAAGTGTCAGGCCCAAGTGGTACCGAGAACTATCGTTGGTCTTCAAACTCAGGGCAGCAGAATCGTTGTCAGTGACGTCCGCGAGAGTGTCACCTTCGTCGTGTATAAATACCAGGAAAACGTCCTCATTCCCTTCGTTGACGACTCCGTCTCCCGCTGGACGACGTCGACCACTATGGTGGATTACGAAACCGTCGCTGGTGGTGACAAGTTTGGTAACTTGTGGCTGCTACGTTGCCCCAAGAAGACATCGGAAGAGGCCGATGAGGATGGATCCGGCGCTCATCTCATCCATGAGCGTGGCTACCTTCACGGTACCCCCAACCGTCTAGAGCTCATGATCCATGGATATGCCCAGGACGTTCCGACCAGCCTGCACAAGACCCAACTTGTGGCCGGTGGGCGCGATATTCTCGTTTGGACTGGATTACATGGCACCATCGGCATGTATGTGCCGTTCATCAGCCGAGAGGACGTCGACTTCTTCCAAAACCTGGAAATGCAGCTCGCGGCGCAGAATCCTCCCCTGGCTGGGCGTGACCATCTGATCTACCGGAGTTACTATGCGCCCGTCAAGGGCGTCATTGACGGCGATCTGTGCGAGACGTATTTCTTATTGCCTAATGACATGAAGATGATGATTGCAGCTGATCTGGACCGTTCGGTTCGAGAAATCGAACGGAAGATTTCGGTGAGTTTCCAGCCCCTTTACTAATATCATTCTTACTTTACTAACTCATGAACTAGGACATGCGAACGAGGGTGGCGTACTGATTTGATAGGGTTCCGGCCGGCGTCTTGAGCAAGGGCTTGTTATGGCTTTGTACGAGGGTTCTGACCTCAATACCCGATAATTTATTTTCTACCTTATTATGTACTATCATTGATATGTACAGATCTCCTGATCCATCCATTCTCCTTCCTGTTCCCATCGTCTTGATCACTCGTAGTTTCTGTCAAACAGAAAAGAGAGTCTCTTGCCTCGCTCGATCTTCCGCCTTCCCCTCGGTTGATCTTGAGCTGGATGCAGCCTGTTTCCCATATGGGTACATTTTGTACGAGACGAGAATATGGCGAAAGCCTTCGACGCTTTTTGAGTACGGTTTTATTCGCACTTCACGGATATGAATCGTAATTTATCAGTCGGGACATTCCATTCCATTCTCTTTAGTAGGTAGGTAGTGTACGCTATTTTGTGTGGGCGTCCTCAGGCCCCATTCACCAATAACAAGCAAAAAAGTCCGCGTTGTTCTCCACTATGTACACAGCTCGTTTGGTGCAATGGTAGCATGCCTCTCTATTATTAACGTATTGTTACGGTGATCCAGGTTCGATTCCTGGGGCGGGTAGTCTTTTTTTTTTTCCCCCCTTCCGAGGCACGGCCTCTAACTTTCTCCCTTGCAAGGTTTCTCTCTCTTTCTCTCTCTCTCTCTCTCTCTCTCCTTTGTTCTTTTTTTTATAAAGTATTAAATAGATATTAGTATGGTAATATGTTTTGGTTGGAGACTTTGATAGGTAGTTCGGGTCTTCATTCTCGAAAATACTTCCTATTAGGTAAATATTGCTTCTGACTCTTAATAGTCCAGGTCAAAACAATGTTGCTAAATCAAACGCAGTTTGCATTGTACTATGTATATATTCTTGTATCATGAATAGTCATACATCTGAACAAAACGTAAAGCCATTTAAACAGTCCGAAGTATGATTACGACGTGTCCACGAGGATCACCGTGTCAAATATTGTCACTTAACTAAGCCCTTAGAACCACTCACCACCCAACCAGCGGTTGTAGAACTCCAGGCCAGCCTCGGGCTGGTCCATGGGAACCATGTGGCCGGCGCCGTAGATGCGCATGAAGGTGAAGTTGCCGTGGGACTTGACCTGACCGATCTTCTTGCCCTTGTGCTCGTTCTGCTCCACCTTGAGGTCCTCGAGATTGGCAGAGGCATACTTAGCCTGTCCGGGCCACTCCAAAGCCTCGGTCCAGGCCTTGTTGCCCAGCCAGTTGCAGATGTAATCGGCATCACCGGCGTAGATCAAGACGGGGATCTGCTCCAGGAGACCAGGGACAAGGCGGTGGTAGGGCTTCATCCAGTCACCGTGGAAGAGGAAGTTACGGTTGATGTCGAAGTTGCACGAGTCGTATCCATCGACCTCGGCACCCACGGCCTCGCGAACCTCGGCCTTGTTCAGGTACTCGCTGACATAGCCCATGCCCTTGTAGCAGAGGTTGCTCGAGTCCTCGCACTTGCCACGAACATCATAGACATTCTGGCCGGTGCGCTGGTAGGGACCGATCATGGCGTTGTTGCAGTAGATCGAGGCGGGGACGCAAACCCACGAGCTCTCGGAGTCATAGCAGGCCTGGATCATCTGCTGGCAGCGGGGCAGCGCATTGTCCAAAGACTGGCAAGCGCTCTCGTCCAAGACAGCGGGGTAGCCGCCCTCACCGCAGCCCATGGGACGGTAGTACTCGTACTGGGTAAGACCGTCGGTGAGACCGTTGCCGATGAGAACAGACTTGAGGTTGATGTTGCGGTTCTTGTGAGCCAGGATCTCGGAAGCGAACACGGGGATGTAGTGACCAGCATACGACTCGCCCGCAATGTGGAAGTCCTGCTTCGCATACTCGGGGAATTGCTTGAAGAAGAGAGTAAGAAGAGCATAGACATCCTTGCCCGCAGCAACAGTGTCGCTAACAGCAGAGCCACTGTAGGAATAGCCAACGTTGACGGGCTGGTCAAGGAAGATCACGGAAGCGTTGGAGTTCCATGAGAAGTCATTGTGGATGGGCTTGATGTTCTCGCCAATGCTGCTGGGTCCAAGCTCCAGGAACAAGCCAGTGAGAGAGGAGCAGCCGGGGCCACCGTTCAGCCACAAAACGACGGGGTCGTTAGCGGGATCATTACGTGATTCGAAGAACCCTTCAGACAATAGTTAGCAATCTAAACACACAATGAGTCAATGTTGCAATGAACGTACAGTAGAACAGATGCTTGTCGTTCTCATTGTCATCCAGATAACCGGTGTACTGCTTCACACCAGGGTCAATGCCGAGGGAGCTGGGGTCGGTCTTCTTGACACGAAGATCGTAAGCTTCCAGCTTTCCATCAACCTCACGCTCCTTTCCACCCTCAGCAGTGTCAACCCAGATCTTCTGAACATCAGAGCCACGGACAATGTGGTCCCAATGAGAGTCGGGGCGACGATTGTGCTTCTTGGGCAGAGAGAAGACGGGGTTGTGGTCCATAGCCTCGGGGACGTAGTTGGAGACTTCATCCCACAGCTTACGAGCCTCATCAGAGAGGGTCTGGAGCTGCTCCTGGAAGTTGTGGAGAGCACCGGCGAAGCCCTTCTCCTTCACAGCAGGTTCCTCCTGAGGCTGGCCATTCATGACCTGCTGGTTGGGAACCTGCTGGTTGAGGATCTGCTGGGCGGGAACGGCGGCAGTGGCCGCTCCGACCAGCAAGGTAGCTGGCACAAGTCTCATTGTCGATTATTTGAAGGTCAAAATGAGATGAAAATGGTAGGGAGGGTGATGAAAAGGTCAAGAGCAGTACAAGCGGACCTTGCGGTCAAGGCGGCTTGGGCGGGAAGCTGGCTTATCAGTACCGGTTATCAAGGGGGGAGAGAGACTCATAGAGCAAAAGGAGCAGTCAACCTACAGTTAACAACAGCAGAAATTGGAAGAAAAGTAGCCGATGAAACACCAGCAACCTTGGGACGAGAAGAGAGGGAAAGGATGAAGAGGAGAGGATGGAGAGAAGGAGGAATGTAGGTCGGGCTTGGGGAAGGCAGGCACCGATGACGCCGATAGCCAAGGCAGCCAATCACGGCGCGGTGCCTCTCCGGGGCGACGGAGTCACGTGTCGAGTCAGGTGCGCTGAGTCACCCGCGGCACGGGACCAGCGTCATTGCCGCATTGGGCCAATCATGGGACAGGCGGGCGGTGCCTCCGACCTGGAATTCTTCGGCGTCATCAGCTGTCAATTTTTCCACCCCTCGATATCCTGCATTTCTCGGTGTCTCCCTGCCGATCCAACTCATCCTCGGGAAACCTGCGTTTTCGCTGGAAGGCGCACCGTGCAAGATGCCTATCAACCAACCCTCGAATCAGATTAAATTCACGAATGTATCAGTCGTCAGGCTAAAAAAAGGTCTGTCCAGTGTCTCACATTGCATTTATACCCCTGCGCCTTTGATCCCATCATACTGCAAGATCTCTCTCTGTCGGCTGCAACTACGACACTACGTCTGGTGGAAGGATCTCTGTCGGAGGAAGAAATTCCTCGCCATAACAAACCCGCCCCGCAACCCCGCTAACCGTGCATAAATCAGGCAAAAAACGTTTCGAACTAGCCTGTTACAAGAACAAACTCCTCGAGTACCGTTCCGGCGCCGAAAAAGATCTCGACAATGTCCTCCAGGTCCCCACCATCTTCCTCTCCGTATCCAAGGCCCAGACGGCCCCTTCCGCGGAACTAGCCAAGTCCTTCGGAGCCGGCACTCCCACCGACGAGATCCTGCAAGAAATCCTCCGAAAGGGTGAAGTGCAGGTTGGAGAGCGCGAGCGGAAAGAGATTGTCGAGCGAGTGGAGAAGGAGGTCCTGGATATCGTGTCAGGACGACTGGTCGACCCGACGACTAAGCGGGTGTATACACCGGGCATGATCTCCAAGGCTTTGGATCAACTGAGTTCGGCGAGCGGGCAGATGCAGCAGTCGCAGGGCCAGCAGCATAACGGCGACGCGAATGGTAGTGCTGCCGGGGAGGAACCTCGTCCTGCTCAGCCAAAGAAGCCGTTGTGGACCGGTGTTACCCCGAACAAGTCGGCGAAGAGTCAGGCGCTTGAGGCCATGAAGGCGCTCATTGCGTGGCAACCCATCCCTGTGATGCGCGCGCGTATGAGGCTGAGAGTGACTTGCCCTGTGTCGCTTCTGAAGCAGAGTGTCAAGACTGGAGCGGCAGCTGGCGGGCCAAGCAAGGAAAAGGAGGCCCCGTCCGGTGGGTCCAAGTCGAATAAGAAGGGTGGTAAAGGCTCGAAGAAGTCGAAGCGACAAGATTCCGAAGATGAGGCCGGTGCGTCCGACGCGGAACCGGCAGCGGCGAAAGCCCCCGGCAACGTCAAGGACAAGATTCTGAGCTACATTGAATCCGTCGAGACGCAAGAAGTGGTTGGTGGAGACGAATGGGAGGTGGTTGGATTTGCCGAACCAGGAGCGTTCAAGGGACTGAATGAGTTCGTGGGCAACGAGACGCGCGGACGGGGACGAGTGGAGGTATTAGACATGACAGTTACTCAGGAAGAGTAAGCGCGCCGGATCGACCTGTATAGATGACCGAGCAGTTTACTCGGATGTTGCAATGACTGATGACTCGGATGTTGGATACCAAAAAAATGCAATGAATTGAGCCATATATCAATCGTTTCCATGTGGCAATCTCATTTTCAAACAAGCTACACTTATCTAATGGCCTTGCAACGCTAAACCAGCAAGAATACTCATCTTCCCAAAACCAGATCCTTCAATGGATATCGTCCTTGCCCGTCACCAGCAACACCACGTTCTGTCCTGGTCCCAACTCCTTCGCCAATCGCATCGTCTCTCCCACCGCATACCCGGTATTCAAACCCGCCGTGACCTGCTCCTCTTCAGCCAAAATCCTCAGCCCCTCCATCGCCTCCTCATCCGAAGCTGTCTTTCCTTCCACCCTGCCAATACTCTTCCAATGTGCCACCTCCGGTCCAACACTAGGGAAGTTCATATCCGGCGCAATCGCCTCCGACGGCTGGATCTGGCCATTCTCATCCTGCAGCACCAGCGTTCGACAGCCATGCAAGACACCCACACTGCCATGAGCCAACGGTGCTGCCCCCTCCGCCTCCACGCACACCAACCGCACTTCGTCCTCTTCCACAAACGCATAGAACAGGCCCGTCGCCGCGCCGCCCATCTCCAACGGACTGATCAGCGCATCCGGCGATGCGCTGTCCCCTTCCCGCCCCATCAACCGCGCAAGCTGAATCTTGACCTCCTCGCCTAATAACTTCTGGAAGGTCCGGTTAATTACAGGGAGGGGGTGCGCACCGATAGGACCCCCCATGACATAGTAGATCGAAGACTGGTCCGTGAGCGAGTGCGCGAGCGCCGAGTTCACTGCAGCCTTGAGCGTGCGACACCCGGAGGCGGTTTCCGCAGGCACGATGTTCGCCCCGAGCCGCTGCATCTCCTGGACGCCGGCGCACTGCCGCGCCGCGTCATCGACGCCTATGAACACGGTACACTGCAGACCGAGGGCAGCGCAGAGACTCGCACACGCAACCCCATGGCACGCAGATCCGCAATCCGTCACGATCTCGCGCATGCCGAGGCGCTTCGCGAACAGGATCTGCCCGATCATACTACGCACGCAGTGGCTGCCGCGGTAGGGGTTGCGGTCCTCGCGCTTCAACCAGATCGTGGCGCCTCCGGCGCGGTGGGTGAGGTTCTTGGCCAGGTGCAAGGGCGTCGGACAGAAGGCCGTGTAGGCGAGGTATTCCTGACAGAAGGACTCGTCGGTGATGATGGACTGGAAGGCGGCGGCGAGGTCATGCAGCGGCTCGACCTGGAGCTCGAGGGCGAATTGACCGCCAAACTCGCCGAAGTGGGTGCGTGAGAGGTCGGGTGCTGGTGCTGGGGGTGGGGGTGCAGCCAGGTAGGCTTTCCTGGCGCTTTCGGAGATTCGCTGGATAAAGATCTGTTTGATGGACTCGGGGGTTGGCCATGATTGGGCGGGTGGGGTTGTCTCTGTGGTTTCCCTTTGGTCCTTGGGTAAGATATTGGACGGTGGTAGAGGTGCAATGAGCATGATGTCAAGTCCTTTAGATAATTGTCAAGGAAGCGTTTCAGATATGATGGTAGTCGTAGTAGTATGTAGACTCTCTCACAACCCCATCCCCTACCCACTCCCCATATTTATAGCTTAAACCATCCACTCTATTCTCTCTCGCTCCTTAATATTCCAAACCCCGAACCAGAAACAATATCATCATCCCTGCCCTACTTCACCTTCCATCCACTCTATTCTCTCTCACTCCTTAATTTTCCAAACCCCGAACAAGAAACAATATCATCCCTACCCTACTTCACCTTCCACTTCATCATAATTGATCTCATCAACATTCCACACCATGTGTCCTTCCCAAACAGGAAATGCAGAATTAACCTTCACCAATAACCCTTCATCCCGCACAGATCATCATCTTCATTCGACACTGTACATAGCTATTTTCGGTACCTATCGCATCATAAATCTTGACCAGTGACGTCGGGGGGCCTTCTATATCTCAGCTGACTTCATACTACCATGTTCCTCGTGACTGCGTTATCTGAACTTAGTTTCTTGATAGCGTGAGGAACATGACAGTCAAACTCAAATATACTCATGGATAGTATTAATTAGTTGGTTGGTTACCTCATGTTCCATGGTTCATGCCCACATGCGAAGGCTTAATTACCTTGTCGAGGTCGGGTTATCTATCTATTGTATAAACAGGTTCGCTTTTTACATACATTTACAGAATATTGAGCAGGATGTCTTGTCTTGTCTTGTCTTGTCTTATCTTTTCTGACTAGATGTCTGGCATCGTGGAGAAATTCGTAGTAGATAAGTAATGTCTGTAGAGTCATTGAGGAAATATATCTATAGTTAAATTCAACGAGTACAAGAACTTCTACTCGGTGATCGCATTTCAATTCTAAATAGGTGAGATGCTCTCCCTTTCTTAGCGATGTCAATGTATTTGTCCGATCAAGCAAATTAGTTCATTAATCTGTTATCGGAAGAATACCTAGGTAGAAAGGAAGCAAAAAGCCAGTCGTCCACCGACTTACCTGGCAGGCTAAGTCCGCCACCCAGCCACCCAGCCACCACCACCCACTATCCGTATATCCCACTCTATTCTTAAAGGGCTCAGCACTTTATCCTATCCTAGTACGGAGTACTTACTATTGATTATTGATAAGCCAGTGCACCCATCACAGTTAAATAATAAAAATAGTTAACTACCAATGAATAATAATACCATAACATAATCCCCTCCCACCAGCAGAACCGAACCAAACCACACCAATTCGACGATCGCCAACTAGCGAGCGGGGATTCGGTTCCTCGCACGTAGTCCAAATAACCCATGACATGTGACCTCCTGAATCCAGGGAACTTCCCGGTGCGGAGGAACGTTCTGGTTAGTTAGTATAGGATCGAGGGACCCTCCGGTAGGCATTCCTGCCTGAGGCGAAGCCTCGGGCAGTATATAGAGGCTCTAGATCCTCCCTCTTAGATAGCCTTTCTTCCCCATGGGAAAATTCTTTGACTACGAGTCAGAAACAAACTTGTCTTATACTAAGCTCCTTTGTAGACCGTCACATGACTGCCGCTCATCTAGCCACCCCCTCATATCTGGATTCTTAGATTCTTCTAGACAGGCCGTCGATCAAATCCTATCTCATCATGTGCCGACATGACTTAGTAGCGAATGACTATAGGTCGGTCTATTGTCTTGGCGTTAATCTGGATTTATCTAGATCTGCGTGTATACAGTAGATCATTTACAGGGTTTTTTGTTTTATTTTATCGTGAGTTTGTTGACCTGCAAATGGTGGCTATGTATGATGTACTATGCCTGAGCGCTCTGGGGGGTAAGAAGAGGCGGAGGCAGAAGTGGAAGGTATATGGTTGGTTGAGTAGCATGTCTAGTGAGGATAGGATGTATGCATGCTGTACTCCGTACGTGACAAGTGAGATAGAAAAAAAAGAGGGAATGAGGGGTTCATTCTCCTCCATTCTTCCATACATTCTCCATTCAAAGTATGAATGCTTTTGATAGGTAATCTATGCAGAAAGTATTAATTAGACCCAGGATAGTACAGTAAGTGCCATGCATTTCTATTCGTCTAACATAAGTCAGGTCAAGTCAAGTCACATAAACAGTACATCGACAAGATAAAACAGTCCAGTCAGTCCATCCATTCCTTGTAAAAGAAAAAATCTAGCAGCGAATTTCAATATCCACCGCTGAATGGACGACACGAACAAATCAGAGAGAGCCTCTAGGCGGGTATACGCTCAATCGCAATGCAATTAAATAAAAATAATGATCAGTCGCTTTTGAAACCTTGTTCGTTTCATGCATAAGAGCGATCCAGACCCGGAAGAGGGAGATGGTTTCCTTCCGGTTTCTCCTCTCCTCTCCTCCTCTCCTCACATCTCGACCGTGTTTTGTGTGGGCCGGGACTGATTGGTGGAGGGATTATGGGTCCGGTTAACGCGAAACCTCCCGAACACGACCCGGTGAACGAGGATGGGTTGTCCGCTTTGCGGACTCAGATTGAAGGGATGAAGGGGAAAAAAAAAAAAAAAACCAGTCGCACACAATATTGTCGAAATTGTGTGGATTGAGGTAAATTGTGGGAAAAAAAAGTGGTGAAGATAAGGCGTCAGGTGACCATGACGGAAAAAAGAAAAAAATTGAATCAAATCAAATCTTGCCAGAAGGTTTGCTGGATTAACCACAGATTTGCACGGCGTTCAACGCCCGTGTCAAATCATCCGGCGAGAAGGGCATGCAGGTTCCCTTGGGAGACATCGGTGGTGGCGAGATGGTCCGGATGGCAGGTGATGTGTAACGTACGGACTCCTTAATCTGGGCGATGGAGTCCTGGCGCAAGATTTCAGGAAGCAGCGTCCTCAGCGAGGCGCTGTAGCTGTCGGAATCGACGGCGGTGGACGAAGACGAGCCCGAGTCGGTGTCTCGATCGTGGGCGTAATCATCCTCTTCAAGAGTTGGCATGGCAGAATCTATCAATCGTTAGGTCGCTGTCACTCATCGATTCATCGTGATGGCGGGTCATGAACGGAGAAGGGTCGTCCGTGACGACAAGGTCCCACATACCATCAGTTACGGTCACCTCTGGAGCCGGGGGGACAATCTGATCGGGAGCCACATCGTCATCGTCGGGGCAGCGTGGTCGCAGATGCTCCGGGAGGGTGGTACAAGGCGACAGTGAAAGGTCGAGAGAACGGGATCGACCGGCCTGGGCGTCCTCGAAGGACCATGCGGCGAGTTTCTTCTGGTGCTCCCGATCGAATGGACCCTTGAACTTGGACCGGGGGATCTCATGGCGTTTGTAGTACTCGATCTTGATGCCATTGTCCTTGGATTTGGACCGGCTTCCAGTGCGTTGGAACACTCTGCGGACTTTCTGGCGGAGACTCATGTTGACGAGAATGACGGGGTTGAGATATCAAGAACGACGAGATCGAAATAAATAAGGTTTAAACTTCCGATTGGTGATGGGAATTGGAAGAGATGGGCGAGTCAACAGCACTTCACAGCGGCAGACCTTTCCCGGCCGGGGAATGGACGCGAGGGAAGGTGTGCAAGCACGAGTGACGATCAAGTAGAGATGTCAACTGGTGGATCATCGTATGTCTGGAGGGGAGATTGGAGAGAGAAAGAGGGGAAAGGGGAGGAAAGAAGGAAGGAAGATGAACAGAGAAGAGCAAGAGACCCAGAAAGAGGCAGATAACGAGAATGGGGTTCCGATTAGCAGAATGGGGGGGGAGGGATGGTGGGAAAGGATATATTCTAGTCTAAGACTGGAGAAGTCTAGTTAGATGTACTAGGACTGGTTCTGACACATTGGGAGAACTAGTAACGACGGAAGATGAGAATGATTTCATGCGCGAGGCGATGATTGGGCATGTAACCCACCCCGATGGAACCTGGCGGACACACCGTCAGAAGCGCCCGCACCGGAGGGAAGCAACTTCAAGCAAGTGGACTCGGTGGAGTCGCCAGTCTTGAGCGGCGCATGGAACGCCGCGATAACCCCCTCAATGCGGTAATCGCCAGGCTCAATGGCCAGGAAAAAGAGGGGCCAAACGTGGAGGATCCACAGGGGTTTGTGCGTGAATTATTCTTCTTTATTACTCGGTATTAACTGTACTATGTTGGTTGGCAATGCATTGCATACTGATTACTGAGTACACAAGTATACTACTTCTAGTACTTCGTAGACTCTGAGCATCTATGGTTCTCAGTCAGTTGACATGAAGCCTGTTCAGTATTCTAATTATCTTTTCTGTCCTGTTCCGTCGGCCCCGGAAGATTCCTCCATCGAGCGTCGGTGTCTCGGTGCCGACGAACATGACTAAGTTAGTCCACCGGTCATCGGGTTACATTGGGCTGGTCACTGGTTCGGCGTGCAGGTACGGCCTTCTCCCACCCCGAGATAGCGATACCCATGGTCGCTTTGCCCCCGGATTGACAGGAAAGCCATGTCGCGATAGACTCGCCTGGCCCCAGCATCTCTCTGCTCCTGCCCGGTCATGGGGTTGAGCTTTGAACTTTGATATCCCCAAGAACCAGAGGGGGGGGGGGGGTCGACCTGGTAAGTCTGGAGGCGTTCCCACGGTCCAGGCGCGCCGGGCCATACTTCCCTCTAGCGGTAGCATACGGCGCGGAAGTAAGGTCTCATCGAGATCCGCGGACTTACATGGCACAGTACAACCGGAAGGTGGCAAAAATGAAGAAAAGCTGCAGCGAACAGTTCCAGAAAAGCTCGGCCAAGGCGGTCCGATCGGCGTGCCACCGTCGAAGTCAACCCCAAAATGCAGTTTATGCTTTGTCTTAGCATCCGGGATTTCCTCTAGGGTTATGACGAACGACATCATCTCGTGTTCCTCCGTCTTCGGGCATCCCCTTGACGGAGATTCTTGTTCATGGGATGAATGCACTCCGTCACGTCATGCTGACAAAGGGCGGTGGATGAGCGTTGAGCGTGCAGACGACTCTCACTCACTGCCACCGAGAGTCCACTACTACCTAGTCCACTTATGCCGTCATTGCATTAATCATGGAAATTACACATGATAAGAGGGAAGGCCAATCAGAGGTTCCGTGGCTTCCGGACGACCCGCCCAGCGATCCGCTCGGCACGCTGCTTCCGGTAGCCTGCCTGAGGCCATTCTACGAAGTATTCAAGTCATGGAAGACAGCCTCAGGCACTTCCGGTGTAATGTGTACAGACTAGGCTGGTTGCTCCGTTCACTGGCTGGTATGTCGATTATCGAAATAACCGTACTCAGAGCCTCACCCTAAGAGACAAACACTCCATACTTCATCCCACGTAAGGAGACGGGTGTAGTTGCAGTCTAGGATGAGGCGGTGTTAGCATTCTAGAAAGCTCAGCTTTCTCCGACATTCCACTATCGGGCAGGACGGCCGGCAACCCATGTTTGCGTTGACGGAATGCTTCGCTGGGATGGACGGTCGGACTGCAAGGGGTCTGCTGCGCCTAAACCAACTGCCTCGTAACCCAGTTGCGCCCCTCGCTGCCCGATCCTTGCCCCCGTGGCCACCATGCCAGGGATGCAAAGTTAATTCCACCACTGACGGGCGCTGAGAACCTTTTACGGAAGACCTGAAGACACGTGAATTCAACGCCGACCGAGGGGTGAAACTCTGTTGTTTGATGATGCGATACGATCGACTACGGTGTAGACAGCATACTGTGTACAGTGTACACAGTATGTGCGACAGCGTGTCCGGTTGTGAGAGAGTGACTAGTACTGGTATGTTTCAGGCCTTGGCTGTTCAGCGTGACTGCTAGTGATTGTTGGTGACGGCGTACCCCGGAATACCCCGGAGTATGATGCAATGGAGCTGGTTAGCCACTGCAGTTGGGGCCATTTTTACATGGGTTACCATCACTGGTCCGTTCTTAGCAGTCAGGACGGAGGATCCGAAAGGCCAAGTCTGCCTTACAGCGCCAACCATAATAGCAGGGAGCCATATCGACTGGGAATGGCATGGGTGAATGTCCCCGACGCATCGGAATCCGGAGTAAACCCCCCGATCCGGAGATGTCTCGGACTAAGGATGATCCCTGTTCTAGGGCTAGGATCCCACATGATGCTAGCCTGATTTAGGTGTCAACTGGTGCCTTAGTGCGACGGCACTGCTGCAGGCACACAACCAGATCGCCGGAAACAGCTGAGCTGCTGCTTTCTGTTTTCAACCAGAGCTGTAGGATGGACTCCCATTGTTCATGGTGGCATGGGGATGGCCTCATCTGGCCTGTTCATCATAGGCCATCACCTCCGGGGAATTGAAAGACGGGGAGAGGTGGCAATTGTAATGTAATATAATCAATCCACGTAGACGTTGCGACAATCGCAATCTCCGTCACCCTTTTTTTGGAATCCCAGGCACCCCCAATGACCCTGCCAATTTATGAACACATAATTCACAATTTTTCCGTACGGTGTACTCCAGTGCTGCTCCCGTCCATTGACCATTACTTGCGTGACTACATGTGACTGCGCTGCTGCTTTCAATGTTCCTTGCGATCGCACCGAGATCTCGTCTTGGTGCATAACTAAACCCACTTGCTCTCCAACGGTCGCGCGACTACTATCCCTTCTCGAACTACGGAGTAGAGAACACTGGTTGCATACTTGACCACTACAGAATACATAGTTATTCCCTCTCATTCTAGGAGGTAAGTACGAAGGAATTGTTTCACGCCCTCTACGGTGGTTCCCCTGCCGTCCCTCTGGTCCCCTCAGCCGCGGATTAACGTTCCCCGAATGCGATTAGGCATTCGGAAAGAACCAACATACCAAACCGGCCGCCCCTAACCTCCCTACCTTTTCCCTTGACTTCCCTATCATCGTTCCCTCGACTCCCTTCCCCCATACCCGGATCGAAGTCGTCCTCCCCTCCAGCTCTCTTGATTCTTCTTCAAGCGCAACAGTCCCGTCCGTGAGTGCTGCCTGTTCTGTTCTCTCCTGTCGAGCTCGTTGTGCGCACAAAAACTGTTGTCGTCATCACTCATTACTACGTGGCCAGACCGTTCTAACGCCCTCATCTCGCAGTCCGTTGAAATCAACCACCATGGCTAAGAAAGGAGGAAAGGCTAAGAACAAGGGCAAGGGCAAAGGTAGCAGCGGTGCTGCTGCTGCCGTCGGCAAGAAGGTCGACGATGTTCAGAACACCCTGTGAGTCGCACAAATGAGCGCGCATGTGTCGCGAATTATTTTTTTTGTTATGGTGCTGGCTCTACTAGCGAGCAATTGAGTTTGGGGCCCCGTTGCGCTAACACCTTCTCTTTTCTGCTAGAAACCCTGGCCAAGAGGTTGAAGAAACGGCCCAGAAGAGTGAAGGAGAGGCGGAGGGTGTCGCGACTGAAGCTGGTGATGCCGCGACTGCGGTGCCCACCACTGCCGTTCCCGACACGGCCGCGAACGTCCCCTCGGCTGCCCCGCAGACGGAGGAAAGCTCCAACACGGTCCAGGAGGCCGTCAAGGATGTTAAGGCCGATTCTGTTCTGGGAGGTGATTCTGATGAGACTCGTGAGTCTTACCTGACATGTCTGATTTTTTGCTCTGTTCGCTGACTTGGCTTTTTCCCCAAACCAGCTAAGTTGCCTGAGATCGCTCCTACGGAAGCTCTCTCTCTTCCTGAACGCCCCAAGGAAAGCACCGTCTCTGAACCTGCGACTACCGCGGCTACCGATGCTGCTGAAACCCATGTCAAACGTCCCCACGAGAACACCCCGGCCGTGGCGGAAGAGAACCGCAAGCCTCCCAAGATCCCCAAAACCGAGGATGAGGCTCCGGCCTTGAAGCCTTCCGAGTCGATTGTCCCTGATGCCACCAAGGCTGAAGTGCCCAGCGAGAAGATCGGCGACGTGCAGCCTCAGATCGTCCCTGGACTCGGCGCGGACCCCCGGGATAACGTGTCGTCGGTGCTGGCGGTCCCCGGTCTCTCCTCGGTCGATGACAAGGCTACCCCGTCCACGTCCTCGACTGCTGCGCCCACCAAGGCTGCCGAGCCCCAGACCACAGAGAAGGCTGCATCGACTGCGGCTCCCGTTGCCGACAGCAAGGTCGACACCGCCAAGGAGGTTGCGACCAGCGAAGCCCCCAAGACGCAACAAGAACCCGTCGCTAGCACCAAGCCCTCGGAACCGGCCACCGTGCCCGGAACTGCCGCTCCCGCTTCTGCTACCAGCACCGATGCCGCGGCCGCAGCTACTGTCAACACCGCTGCCAAGGAGACTGAAATTCCCGCATCCTCGGTCACCGCCAAGGAGACGGAAACTGCTGCTCCTGCCGCCGCTTCTACTGTCCAGGACAAGGCTCCCGTCAGCGAGGCGGCCGACAAGAAAGAGACCGCCGCCCAGCCCGCCACTGCCGCCCAGAAAGGGACTTCTGACCTGAAGGAATCGACGGGTGCTACTCAGGACAAGACTGCTACCGAGCCCAAGTCTCCTGCCGTTGCCGCTGCTGCCGCCGCTACTGCCGCGGCTAAGAAGCCGGAAGAGAAGAAGCCCGAGGAGGCCAAGAAGCCCGAAGAGGCCAAGAAGGCAGAGGAGACTCAGAAACCCAAGGAGGCCCAGAAGCCCGAAGAGATCAAGAAGCCTGAGGAGGCCAAACTTCGGGATTCTCAGCCCGTCGGGGAGGCCCAGAAGGACGGTGCCGCCGGCGAGTCCAAGACGCAGGAAGGCAAGCATCTTGCGGACAAGGCCAAGGAGACGGCCAAGTCGGAAGCCGACAAGGCCCAGGAAGCCGCCAAGAACGAGGCCGCGAAGGCTGACAAGCGCAAGAGTGGCTTCTTTGGCTGGCTTAAGCGCAAGGTCAAGGGAGAGAAGGCCTAAATGTTATTTGATTCGTAATGTCCGATTTCATTGGTCTGACGGACTTGCTACAGACTGAGAAACAAGCCCTTAATTGCTGATACCCACATGGCGGTTGGATGGAACCCAAAACTGATTCAAAAAACTGAGAAAAAAAAAGTTGAAAACTCAAGGGAAAACACGAGCAGGAATGACCCGATTGAACAAACTGAATGAGATCGGTTGTGTATGATATGCGACGAGCGATACCAAAAGCGACGGAAGGATATTGGGTAATATGGGATGATCGGCTTTCTGTTTCTGCGAGAGGTGTAAACCCTGGTTCAGCCCCTGTGATGTTAATTCCAATTTCATGTTCTTCAATTGCCAGGAGATGTCTGTGTAGACTGTAGAGTGTAGAGAGACTGTTGTTTACTCCGCTGATTCACCGCCACTTTCCTTGATGTCGGCCGATTAAGTAAGACCGCAACTCTCTTCTTCCGTTCTTCCCAGCCATCGGTCCTCTCTCTCGCCGGCATCGCTCTCTAGCTCTCTCTAGTTTCTTGTCTCGACCTTGATCGAAGCGATGAGATCATGGCCTTCGACACCGGTGATCTCCTCCCTCTCTCCACTTGAACGCCCCACGAGGCATTTGTTCTCGCCTGCCGTGGCTGAGACCGATATCCACTCACTCCATCCGATCCGTCCAGCCAGGCCAAGCTTTCTCCAAGCTTTCCCAGTGCCTGTGGCCCTGATGCTGACCCGGCGATTCGCTTCCCAATTTTAGGAAACCCCCTCATCTCCCCTCCCTCGTATCAGGAATCGGGACGGGCAAATCCGCGCTGTTGGCGAAGGTCCATGCTGTTTCTGCTGACACCACGTTTCTAGGCTACCAGGATGGTGACTGGCTCGGCCAACGGATGGACGGGCAGAATGCAATGCGTTCAGCTTTCATTCGACGGTCGTTGGCCAGTGAAGGGCCCCTCATCAGCGTTCCCCTCTTCTTCCCGGATTGCCTGAGCTCAGGTCTGGTCGCGCATCGTACGGCCCGCTCAGGAGACTAAAGAGCGTGAGGTCCCCCCTGTCTGGGTTGTTTGTTTCTCTGCTTGTTAGATTTATTTTCTCTTCCTAGACTTTACACTGTCAATTGGACTCTGTACTTTTTTTTTACTTCATATTTGTTTTCACACTCTTCTCTACTCTAAGCACAATGGTCCATCTTGCTCAGGTTCGTCGCGACAACGCTGACCTCGACGCCACGGTCAAGCGGGTTAATTCCATTAAGTTGGATACGACCGAGGAGGATGATTTCTACTCCAGCGTTTATGGCACGCGGTTTGCCCTCGAGCAGCTACCTCAAAATGAGATGCCGGAGGGCGAGATGCCTCGAGAGGTCGCCTACCGGATGATCAAGGATGAGCTGAGCTTGGATGGCAACCCGATGCTGAAGTAGGTGTTCAGTTCCGTATCGTTGGCGATGGATGTTAACGAAATTATTTTCAACTAGTTTGGCGAGTTTCGTCACGACGTACATGGTATGGTTCTCCGTCATTGCTCGGACGGCCGATAGCATGCTGACCACCGGTCCTCTATAGGAAGACGAAGTCGAAAAACTCATGACCGACTCCTTCAGCAAGAACTTCATCGACTATGAAGAATACCCGCAATCGGCGGAGATCCAGAACCGCTGCGTCAACATGATCGCTCGTCTCTTCAACGCCCCCGTCGAAAGCGAGGACGACCATCCCATGGGTACCTCGACTATCGGCTCCTCCGAGGCTATCATGCTCGGTACTCTCGCCATGAAGCGTCGGTGGCAGAACAAGCGCAAAGCCGAAGGCAAGGACTACTCCAAGCCGAACCTGATCATGAACAGTGCGGTGCAAGTCTGCTGGGAAAAGGCCGCCCGCTACTTCGATATCGAAGAGCGCTACGTCTACTGCACGGAAGACCGCTACGTCATCGATCCCCAGCAGGCCGTCGATCTCGTCGACGAGAACACCATCGGTATCTGCGCCATCCTGGGAACCACCTACACGGGTGAATACGAGGACGTGAAGGCCATCAACGACCTGCTCATTGAGCGGAACATCGACTGCCCCATCCACGTCGATGCCGCCAGCGGCGGTTTCGTGGCCCCGTTCATCCACCCGTCCCTGAAATGGGACTTCCGTCTGGAGAAGGTGGTCTCCATCAACGTCTCTGGCCACAAGTACGGCCTCGTCTACCCCGGTGTCGGATGGATCGTCTGGCGTTCTCCGGAATTTCTGCCCAAGGACCTCATCTTCAACATTAATTACCTGGGTGCCGAGCAGGCCAGTTTCACCCTGAACTTCTCCAAGGGCGCTTCCCAGGTCATCGGCCAGTACTACCAGATGATCCGTCTCGGAAAGCGTGGCTACCGGTCGATCATGGTCAACATCACCCGCATCGCGGACTACCTGGCCGAGGAGCTGGAGAAGCTTGGGTTCGAGATCCTGAGCGAGCGTCGTGGCCGCGGATTGCCTCTCGTGGCGTTCCGACTGCCCGCCGACCGGAAGGACGACGACCACTTCGACGAGTTTGCCATCGCGCACCAGCTGCGCGAGCGCGGATGGATCGTGCCGGCGTACACGATGGCGCCCCACAGCAACTCGCTGAAGCTGATGCGCGTGGTGGTTCGCGAGGACTTTACCAAGAGCCGATGTGACACGCTGCTGGCGGACATGAAGCTGGCGTTGAAGACGCTCAGCGATATGGACAAGGCGATGTTGGAGAAGTACACGCAGTAGGTTTGCTCCGGGGGTTGAAGTGGATTGATTTCGAGGAACTTGCAAGCTGACCAACGATAGGCACGTTCGCACGCATGCGACCAACTCGCACAAGGCCAAGCATAACCACCCGCATTACAAGGGCGAAAACCACTCTTTGCAGGGCAAGACTGGCAAGACCCACGGCGTGTGTTGATTTCGGTACCTGACCGTAGTGATTGAGAGGGCATAGGCAGGAGGAAACAAACAGAGCTTTTATGAATAACATGACCGGATTAGACATACATAACTATGCACTTGGAAGTTCCGTGGCAGTGGAGCACAGCAAGGCTGTCAGTCCTTAGATTGTATACTTGTCTCCATCTATGCGGCTGTGTTTATCGGGGGTGCTTGGCGGCCTCGAGGCAGTTGAAAGGGAGTCCCTGCGAAGGGAAGATGATCGCGCAGGTAGAAGTAAACTCCCCTCTATCTCGAGATTAAATCGAGACTGAACACGAGGCGTGAGATTCCTGGTGAACAGCCCCCAAACGCGGCCAATCACCAACGTGACGTCCCGCCTTTCCCACCTTCTTCTTCTCTTCTGTTGTCTTTCTTCTTCCTCTTCTTCTCCTCTCTTTTCGTACTTCCTTTCTTCTGGTTTATTTTGCCCCCTTTTCTCTGTTTATTTCTCTGTTTCTATATATAACTCTCCATGCCACTCTTCCGCAAGAAACCCAAGTCTCCCCCCACCAACCCGCTCTCATTCCGATCTGTCGAGCATCTTCCCCAACTGACCGACCGCCGCGGCTCTTCCGTCTCCACCGCCATTCCGCCTGCTGTCGCTGCTCATCCTCATCCTCATTCACTCTCTCATCCTCAGCCTCTCCCGGTCCCTCCTCCCCCTCATCCTCCTCCCTACCATCACCCCGCCCACTCGCCCTCTCAGTCGTCCCTGCAGCGCTCCCAAAGTCAGCGCCATTCCCGCAGCGACCCCGCCGTTGGCATTCCTGCCTCGCCCTCCGCGCCGCAGCAGCGCTTCGAGGTGGACCCGTCCGACGACGACCACGACGAACCGGAACATCACTCGCGACGCACCATTCGGAACATTTTTTCCCTGCACTCCTCCAACACCCCGAGGGATTCCACCGGTCCTCTCGAGCGCCGTCGTTCTTTAAGGAAGTCGTCCCCCGCCGCCGCTCGTCGAAACCGTCCCTTGTCCGTGGACACGACCAGCCCGGACAACCGCCCTCCCCTGACCTCCCGCTCGCGAGAGTATGTGGTAGAGTCCCTCCACGCCACGCCTCAGTCTCCTATGCCGCCGCAGGATTTTCATCCTTCATCTCAGAACAACCCCCGACTGCCTCGCTCACCGCATATTCCTTCCATTCAACGTTCCAACACCGACTCCTCCTTGGCGGTCGAGCCCCTCCCTCCTCCGACCAGTATACACCAGCCGTCGCCTATCGACCCGTCCAGAAAGCCCCCGCCCGAGCTGATCCCCGGCCCGTCCCAGCAGCAGCAGCAGCCATCTCTGGACCCGTCCAACGCTCGTCCGCCGTCGCGACAGTCTCTCGGGCCCCCCTCTCCTCTTCGTCCGCTCCCCAATCATCCCACAGACACTCCGCAACAGGGTATGTCGGAACGCCCGTCCACGGGACCTGCACCGGGTCCCCCTGCCAGTTCTGCCTTTGGGCAGGGCTCCGCCGACACAGGCCTCCGCAATAACAATACGACCGCCCATGGGTCGTCGGAACCCGGTCGCAGCACCCCGACCTCCAACCACAGTCGAAGCCGCGACGAGGCCGATCTCGATGTGCGAACCTTGGTGCAGAAACATGACGAACTCCGTACGTGTCCCGTTGGCTCCCGCTTCGTCTTCTTTGGACCTGCGCAACTGACCCGAATCTCTTTTGCTTTCTTCTTGCAGAGGCCAAATATTCCAAAGTGAAACGATACTACTTCGAAAAAGAAGCCCAGGTGCAACACCTGCAGAACACGGTCGCCCATCAGCGTATGGCGGTGTCGCGCACCGTCCTCGACGACAACGAGTATGCCAACCGGTTTGGCCGCCTCGACGGAGCCATCAAGGACCTGGCGTTCGCGGTCCGGAAGGATTGGAAGACTCTCCCCGGCTGGCTGAGCGGATTTGTCAACGAGGATGCCGCCGCCGTCGGCACCAAGGAGATGACTGCCATTGGCCGCGCGTTCATGAGCCGCTGGTTGGCCGATGAAGTTTTCGGGCGGTATTTCAATCCGGTGCTAGAACCGTCGTTCAGCCGTCAGCTGAAGGAGATCGAACTCAACCTGCGCCGGCAGCAGGGCAAGACCGCCACGGAGGAAGACAAAGAGAATGCCATTGCCCGCATCTCCAACTGGCGCCGCACCACCTTGGACGGGCTCGAGGACGCGCTGATCGGCCCGACCGCCGACGAATACCGCACCCAGCTCATCGACCATCTAGTGGGGGGCTTGTTCAAGGCGCTCACCGATCATCTGCAGAGTCCGCCGCCGCCAGGAATCGAAAACGGGGCTCGTATGATCGTGGAAAACGCCATCGGGATTTCAGAGAAGATCCCTCTGGAGTCGCGCGACCTCTGCGTGGACTATCTCCTTCCGGGCACCGTCCTGCACGAACCTACGATGAAGGTCGAGACCGGTATTCCTCCTTTGACCAATGCCGCCCTGCCCGAGGCGACAGCCACCCGCGGTTCCGACGACCAGGACCGTCCGGCGGACCACCCCGGCGTCGAGGACCTCGACGTCGACCGGGACTCTTCGTCGGGCTCAACCAACCCCGACGCCGCCACGCCGGGACGTGAACAGCGCGTTCGCTCCGTCTTCAGCAGCCTGATGGGTCGCAAACAACAGCAGCAACAACAGCAACAAGGCGGTGGTCCACCGATCGCCCCGGGCCCTGGCGGCAACGGGGACTCGGTCCGTCCGACGACCACCGGTGCCGATGGTGGCGGCGTGGTCCCTCCCCAGCCACGCATTCGCTTTTCGACCTTCATCACGGCCGACGTGAGAGGACGAGGACCAGTCAACGTACTCGTCAAAGCGCCTGTATATTTGATGGAATGACCTGCCTACTTACTACCTATCACCCACCTGGTCTGACACGTGTAGATGTTCTGAATTGAAATGATTTGGTTACTTTGCGTTTATACAGCTGTCTATCTGTTGATTAGGATTAGCGTGTATCGATTGATTGATGGATGGATGATTTAGTTCGTTGATTGATTGTAGCGTGATATCCTGCAGCGTTGCGTGTTGTCTTTTCTTTTCTTTTCTTTCTTTCCCGCGCCAAATACATACAGTATACCTAGCTAACTAGCTATCAAGATGAGAAGAGCTGGTACTGTACATACTTACATAGAGATGTGAAATGAGGATGAGGATGAGAATGAAGTATGATATAAATGTGTCTACAGTTTTGTTGCATTGTCTTACCTTATCGAATAGATAGATAGATAGATAGATACTTGTAAAGAACAAAGTCGATGTCGATGTCTTCTGCTCATCTCTCCCCGTTTCTTCTTGCATTCCAGGCGTCAAATCAGCTAATCTACATCCGATAGATACCTAAAGATGGAATGGAAAATGTAAATGACATGGGTGGCAACTGGGGGGGGGGGGGGGATCCCTAGTTTAACTACTCTTTTCTTCCATGTATACCTATTTTACCAGTATATATATATAGTGACTAGTCAAGATGGAAAGAGGAGCTGTTAGAGTATATTAAGGGAGTGGTAGTAAGGAAAAGAAAGTAATATATCAAAGTTTCACAGAACCGTTTCACATAGACCTTAGCAGTAGGAAATAGGTGCCTATATTGGATTTCAAACTGCGGCCATGGGTCTGACACACTATCGTACAGCCTCCCACTAGACTACAGCGCGCAAGGATTGAGTATGCATCGGGGAACGAGCATTGCGGTGGCCCCCCTATACATCTAATGTACCGTAGTATGCACGGAGATACCATGCTACGAGCCGGCGTCTTAAGAATGTAAGTGGGCTCCGGATGGAATAAGGCTCGAAGAGGCTGACCAGCCTGTGCCGAAAAGCCAGCACCCCAACTACGCCCAGTTTCATAACGTGGAATTTTTGATATTCATTTCATATTGGTATGATTCTTTTGACTTTTTAATGGACCCAAATCCGTTATATGTAAACAGGTCCCCGTTTCGTAAAGTACCACACCAACGCTTTCCCTCTCCCTTCCAGCGAGCAAGAAAAAAAAATAAAGTTGAACCCTCTCAGATCGTTTAGCCCTTCTTCTTGCTGACACCGACGGTGCGTCCGCGACGGCCGGTGGTCTTGGTGTGCTGACCGCGCACACGGAGACCCCAGTAGTGACGGAGACCACGGTGGGAGCGGATCTTCTTCAGGCGCTCCAAGTCCTCACGGAGCTTGCTGTCCAGACCGTTGGACAGAACCTGGGAGTCCTTGCCGTCGGTGACGTCGCGCTGTCTGTTGAGGAACCAGGTGGGGATCTTGTACTGCGTGGGGTTCTGGAGGATGGTGACGACACGCTCGAGCTCTTCGGTGGTGAGCTCACCGGCACTGTTGTTGGAAGATTTATTAGCGAGGATGTTTCTGGGTTGGGGGGTTTTTTTTATATCGTTTTTCCATAGTGCGGGATTGTAGCGGGGGGAATTTTCCTGTCTTCGAGACGAAGATGTGTGCGGGTTTTGTGGTGGCCTCCGGAGAGGTGGATGGAGAACGTACCGCTTGTTAAGGTCAACATCGGCCTTCTTGCAGACCAAGTTGGAGTAACGGCGACCAACACCCTTGACCTGAGTCAGGGCGTACATGATCTTCTGCTTGCCGTCAACATTGGTGTTGAGCAGACGCAGGATGTACTGGAAGTTCGTCTTCTCGCCGGACACGAGCGCTGTAGGATGGAAATAGAAGTCAGCCATCTGATGTTGCTAATTTGTTGCACATCTTGAAATCGGGTCTGTTTCGATGCTGCTGCTGCTGCGCCAATGAAAAATCCATTTCGATGCCGTTCTGTCCGCTCTGTGAAAATTTCCTTGTTCTGGCTTTTTCTTCGCTGTGAATCGTATCCATCATTCGGGTCTCATGTCGACATATCCCCGAATGTAATCCCCCCTTTCAACTCAACAACTCATCTTCTTCCATCCCTCCGACCAGATTCTCCAGAGCGAATCAAAAACAGCAGCAAAATGGACTTCAGAACGCATGATCGGGAGCATAGGAATGGCACGTACACATGATGGGCGATGGCGCGACGGGACCGCGTTAATTGTCGACAGCGAGAGGGGTGAGAAGGAGGTGAAATCGACTCGCTGGGCTTTCCAACTTTGCTCGCCCGTTGTGGGATCGGGTAAAGATGGCTCTAGCCGCTTTCGGCTCTTGGTGCGCTCGAGGGCTCGCTTGTGCGGCGCTAGGCCGGGTCGGGACTAGCTCTGGAGTTCTATTGGCGGTCTGGAAGTGGATCACGTGAATGCTTGGGGGTGAGTGTGGCCGCGGAAGATGACTAAACCGCTTATATCATCGCCTTGCTTGACCGGACCGAACTGCGGCGATCTCCTGACCTTCTTCCTTGGCGGAGAATTCGAGCGCGTAAAAGCGCGTGTTGTAGAGATATTCGATAACTCGATCTGCAGCGCGAATGTGGTCCTGCGAGGGGCTTTTGAGCGCTTCAGATAGACGGCTAATCATAAAGGCAATATCGGGCCTTGTGATCATCGCAGTATACTGTGCTGAGCCAATTTTCATCGAATATTCCTTCTTCTTTGATTCCGGCGCCTCGTCAGGGTTGGGATCGAGGTTGATCGTGTTTGAATGAGGTGTATTTGGTTGCCTCGTGTGGTCGTGGAGGTGGAATCTCACGGCGATATTCCCGAGATAGGCATCTTGACAGAGCCAGAGCTTTCTGTGAGGTCTATCTCGAATGATTCTGGCTCCTGCATTGAATGGAGATCAGTGGATCTCGCATTTTTATGACGAGAATACGCGCTTTCATAACGTCTTTACGCACCGGTTGAAAAGCGGCTGTGTAGGCGCATTCAACACCTACATTCTGCAGATGCAGAATATAGCGAAAACAACGATCAAGTTCTTCAAAAGTGATCACGAGCAGACGCTCGGAAATGCTGTCAAACGTGAAGAAGCGCTTCGAGGAATTATTCACGAATATTCCGTGGTTGATACGCCTGATCAGAATGGTGCTGCAGAGAGAGCCGGCGCGATCCTGATCCTAAAGGCTAGGAAGACGATGATTGAGGCAAAATTGCCTCGGGATCTCTGGCCCTGGGTCATCGGCGGAGCAGCGAATATCCTCCACGACCACGCGAGGCAACCAAATACACCTCACCCAAACACGATCAACCTCGATCCCAACCCTGACGAGGCGCCGGAATCAAAGAAGAAGGAATATTCGATGAAAATTGGCTCAGCACAGTATACTGCGATGATCACAAGGCCCGATATTGCCTTTATGATTAGCTGTCTATCTGAAGCGCTCAAAAGCCCCTCGCAGGACCACATTCGCGCTGCAGATCGAGTCATCGAATATCTCTACAACACGCGCTTTTACGCGCTCGAATTCTCCGCCAAGGAAGAAGGTCAGGAGATCGCAATAATTGCCTCCGATGCAGCCTACGCGGATCGCCCGGATCGCCGCAGTTCGGCGGGATATCTCGTGAAGCTCTACAATGGCCCCGTTGAATGGAAATCGGGCAAGCAGCGCGCCGTCACAACTTCTACAACTGAAGCAGAGTTTCTCGCCCTGTCCGAGGCGGCCAAGGCCGTATACTGGTGGCGCAGAGTTTTCAACACCATAGGATTCGATCCTCAACACGAAACGACCGTTTCATGCGATAACCAGCAAACCGTTCGTTTGGTCAACCACGAGGACATTGAGCAACGCTCTAAGTTACGTCATGTTGATATACACCGATCATGGCTCCGTCAAGAGGCTCAACGAGGTGATCTACGCGTGCAGTGGATCCCTACCGATCGAATGATCGCAGACGGCCTCACAAAACCGCTCCCAACTCAGCAACACCACAAATTCATGAAGATGTTGAATCTCGTCAACATAAAGGACCTCATTCTCGCTCAAGAAGGAATATAATGGCCTACGCCAGGCGCTGAGGGGGTGTGTGGCCGCGGAAGATGACTAAACCGCTTATATCATCGCCTTGCTTGACCGGACCGAACATGCGAACCGATCTACATTAATCGTATGATTTATGACGGTATAGATCATGCAAATTCCGCTCATTTTATGACGATCCTGAAGCCCCTGAGATTGCATAAATATCGGATTCTTTATCGTGTAGTTAGAAGAATTAAGACTTTCATTCATTTCGAGCATGATCAACGGCTGAATCAGCGCTTCTCAGTAATAATAGACCCACAGAAATCTGCCACAGTGAGTAAGCGGGTGGTTACTCGGCTTTTTGTAAGCTCATCTCTATGGCTTGATTTGTGCTTCACTTTTTCACTTTTACTTGGAAATGCTCTATTGTATGGAGTGATCATGAAGCATATAAGTTCAGGGTACTGTGGCATGATATACCAGTCACTCAAATTTGACATGTTGATGCAGTGGCCGAAAGAACTAGGGACATTTGCAAGTCTGAGGCATATCTGGAACAATAGGGATGATGGATGGAATATATCTGCCGGTTCTTAAATTGAGCGTTACGAGGTAACTCGGTGAGGACAGCGCAGCTTGCAATTAGTCCATCTGACAGTTTTCTAATCCTCTGAAATGAACAATCTGACATGTGATCTCCATTTTGTCTTGTATGCAGAACACCTCCAGAGGTTCATCCTTCCTACACTCACTTTCTATCATCCCAAGTATCATCTAGATTCTTTGACCACGATTCAGTGGCCTGGTTCTGTCATCTCTCTTTGTTAACAGTCTCTTTGAAGAACGTGGCCCGGCAGGTGGTCTGGACAATGAATTCCCCCATTCAGATTGTCACTATCCTCATCTCAGCAATTAACCATGGGCCGGCAGACGTCACCGGGATAACTAACCTATGGGGTAAATATGGTTCTTTGATGATTTTCTGAATCTGAAGATTCTTTCGAAAGTAAGGCTGACTACGCTGCAGGGCTCTGAATCGTTTTTTGTTCAAACGCATCCGCAGCCCAATGTGGAATTTCCTGAAGACAAAGAATGGATTTTTCGGGGCCTTCTCTATTGGTCTTTCTTTGACGGAATCACGATCCCTGGATGAAAAATGACTAGGACTGAAAATGAAACAATCGACTTTCAAAGAAAGACAGAATAGTATGATGGCCCGAGTCCAAGTTCTTAATTTCAATGGCCAACCCACCAATTCAAATATCCGGACGTCATTGACTAAAATAGTCCATACATGATCCGGTCCTCTTTGTGTCTTCTTCCCTAGGAATAGGCGTCGACAGTGGCACTGCATCCCGGACATTTATTGAACTGATCACCCCGGCCTTGAAACTTACACTTGAACCCCCGGTGAGGATAACAAATATCTCCTTACGTCCACACCTATTGCCTTGGAAAAGGAAAAAGCCCCTTTCAGAACGCCCTTTGCGTCCTATCCAGACAGAAGATGCCCGCAAGTCTATTCAGCGACGATGAGTCGCCACCGCCCTCTCCTGTGCTTGAGCATCCCAAACTGCGACTCAATGACCTGGCCGACCCTCCAACGGACTGGCAGTTCCTGGGAGAGACTGTGCAGGTGACCATGCGTGCTCGTCGGTTCCCAAAAAAGCGTTTGGAGACAATAGTGAACCATCACAGTTGGGGAATCGACATGGGACTAGCCAAGCGTGCAACGATTGAGAAGCTTCTAATTGCTCTTTGGAAGCTACTTTACCATATGGCGCCTGACCACCTACCGACGTCGTTTGCTGAGCTCGCGGACTTTTCCAGAGATGCAGGCCCTCGGTTGCTCCCATATACTATTCAAATTGAACGCGTCCCCATTAGCAGATATTATCCCCAACCGCCAGCAGATAGCAAAGCCCTGAGTTTGCGGTTCACAAGACCGAGTGACGCTCCAGCGTCAATTTCCGATAGCTATCTCGAGCGGATGTCTTATCCAGTCTCTGGCGGGCCGGTTGACCTCGACGCCACCGAAGATGAGGAGGAAGAAATGGGGGAAGAAGGACAGGAGCAGGAGCAGGAGCAGGAGCAGGAGAAGACTCGCCCGGTCGAAAAAACCAAAAGTCCGCTACGATCGGCATCCAGTCGCCATAGTCGCATCAGCGTCGTGACCCAACCTTTTCAACCTGAAAGACATACCGCGCGACCGCTCCCGGCTAAGAATGTCGTTGAGATAGTCCAACGAGTTATTATGAAACTTGCGCATGCGGACCTCGAGCGACACCACACGACTGCTTGGGCTGGACATCCGTGTTTGGTGGCGTCCGAACCTCAAGCCCTATTGAAGATTCTCGATAGGACGGTTCCTGCGACGACGCAGGTGAGACTCTTATGGAACCGCGAGACCGACGAGATGACACTACATCCGGATGGACGTGACTACCCCTATCGAGGTCGTGGTCCCGTGGGCACGTTCAACACAAGCGCCATTGATTGTGTTATTGTCGCCGCTAAACTTCTTGACGCTGGGTCTACGGTAATCGATCGTTGCAAAAAGGGGTGGCGCGCACAGTTGACCCCACTAGAGTCGGCATTGATCAAAACGACCGAAGTTGACTGGGATCTCTGCTTCACTGACGAAAGTGAAATGCTGCGGAATAATTTCTGGCATGTGGTGAATGACAGTCTGCCCGAAGTCTGGGCCGGAGATATTCCTTGGCTGCAGGGGATTTGGACCAGGGCGACATCCAACTTCGCTCAGTTCCATTTCACCTACTACGATCAATATCGTCCATGCGAGTGCAACCCCGATCGTGAACGTGGGGACACCACGGGGCCATGGAGAAATACCTTCATGCAGCCATCTGAAGTCCCAGAGGACGGTGAAGGGCCTGTCACGATGCAGACCCGTCTGGCGCGGGAATTTGCTTTCAGTGTGCAGGTGGATTGCGACGTCTGCGATACCCCCAACGCCGTAACCCGCTGGCGAACCTTCGAGAGCCTCCCCGCGCGCTTGGTGGCCATGGTTGATCCCGACGTCCCCGTGACGAAACACACGCAAGATCTCACGTTCGAGGTTGAAACTTTCGCGAAGCGCATGTCGGTGACATATCGCTGGGTGGGCGGGATATACGAGTATAAGGGTCAATTCCGGGTATTCTGGGCTGACAACCGCCCCGGCGAGGTCGACCGGGGCGAAGTCCGCATGTACGACGGGTCCAAGAGCTTGGGAATGATTGTTGGAGGCCTTTCGTACGGTCACCCGAGCGAGAGAGTCCCCGACGAATGGTGGTATAACAAGACCATTCCCTTGGTGTTCTACGAACGGGTAGACAACGTCAGCCCCCAGGTTCTGAACACGGTGATGAGCTCAGTGGGGTCAATGGTAGAGGCTGTAGAGAACAGGATGCTTCTTACCGATGAGGTTGGCCCCTGGGCCCCATCCAATAATGAGGTCTCTGAGCAGCCCGGTCAGTGGGTTTTCCCAAGCGCCGATCTCTTCAATATTCCGCCTCAGGTCAACCTTCTCGCGAGCCCTATTTCTGAGCAAAGCTATCCTCTGGGTATGCAGGACTCGCCTGGGCAAGATGCAGTTATATACTCGCCTCCCTTGACTCCGCGAATTGAGGAAGATCCTGCATCGCCGCCGATGGGTTCAATTCCATCGAACCCTTTAAGTTCACTTGGCCTTGAGAGGATCGGACAGGGGGAGACTGGAAGCAACCTTGATTATCAGGCTCCTAGTATACATAACCTGGTGCCTCAGCCTGATCTTCCAGCTTCTAACCTTCCCACCGCGGATCTTCCTGAACCTGTTCAGCGACACCCCTCCGACGCAGAGCTGCGGGAGAAGTATGGTGTCAATTACACCCGTGAAAACTACATGAACGATTATTATAACGCGGCCATGAAAGTCTACTATATGATGAACCAAGACAATGGCAACACTGGCAATGCCGCCAGCATCAGCAGCGTCAATTTTCCACAGTGGAACCAGGGCAACATGTATGGGGTTCCACAGTACTGGCCAGGTAACGGGAGTCAGCTTCAAACACTTCAACAGTTTCAGCAGCAGCAGCAACAACAACAAGAACAACCTTCGCCTTCTCCAAGGTCGAATTCTCGGTCACGTTCGCACTCAGGACAGGGAAGCGCTGTCGGGTCAGATGCAGCTCGCCGTCCATCACGGACATCTTCGCAAAAGGCACAGACACGTCGATCGACAGGTCATCGTAATGGGAACAAGCGAAAGCGAGGCCCACCTGATCAAAAGAACAAGAGGAAGAAGAGGAACCAGAGGTTCAAGAAGAAACGGCAGGCTATCCAGGCGCTCGCTCATCGGCCGAGATCTCGTCTTCAGACACCCGAGGGTTGGTGATTGTCTTTTATTTAGTTTGTTTTCCCCTTCCACGTTTTGTATTGTCACCAGTAATTTGTATAGATTGAAGTTTTTGTTTGTTCATGTGTATTATCCCTCGAATGTTTTGGGTCTAATTATAGAGTGGTGTTTTAATGGCAATTTCCAGTGCAATGAAGATTACTAGCACATGACCGAGGAATTCCTCTCCCACTAACAGACACTCTGCGACTGCCACTTACGCGCATCGTCTCTCTTCTCCACCATCATCCCAGTAGACTTTTCATCTAGCTCTATCATATAAGCTACGTCTAGATACCTACTCTATTCAATCAGAATAACCGACGTGAGGATGTCTTCGGAAGACGGGTCCTCAGCCGCACGTTCTAGTATAAACAATTGTATGTTGCTATATCGAGCATACGCTAATTCGTCGCCCTTATAGCTCAGTGGCAGAGCGCTTCACTGTGAGTTATTAATATCACCTTAACCTTCTTAGCCCGTACTAACTATGAGGAGTGTAAAAAGCAGCAAAGCTTTCCTCGACATGAAGAGGGCCGCGGTTCAATCCCGCGTGGGGGCATTCTTTTTTTGTTCTTACCTAATTCTTCGAAATCACAAATTTTTTACTGGCCCCCTTTTAATTGTTATATAGGAGTTTTACTGTAATGGCATCCCTGCACTCCCTCGGGCCAATAACGGGACGGGCAAAGGTCAGTCAGGGCGGCCCCGTTGTTTTCCCCGCATTTCACTCTTCCCCGGCTTTCCTCGTCTTCTCCCCCTTCTTCTCTTCCCCCTTCTTTTCTTTCTCCTGTATCTCATTTCATCTTTCCTCTGTGATTAATTATACTTTGAACTCTCTTACTATATTTCCTTTGAATTAATCAGATTCATTGATTCAACGAAACTATGCTTGGTATTCGAAACAAATCGGTTCTAAATCTAATAAACAACGCAGGGCCTTTTCCAGACCGTGCTCCTATCTACAATAACAATAAAAATCATCAAAGCCAGTTCGATACTCTATAGGCGAGCTCGCACACATCCATCCTGCTTCTTAGCCGGCCCGGTGGCGGTATTGCTCTTCTTCGGTGCAGACACGTATCCGCCCTTGACGTTGTCCGTGTTCACGATGGCGCCCTGCTCGTCACGTCGAATCCCCAACTCGACCAGCTTGCCAAACACCTTGGCGAAATGATCAAAGAACAGATCCTTGTCCTCCGCATATCGCTCCACCCATTGCCGGAACGATGGGTCCGTGATCAACGAGATATCGGTCGGCAGCATCATCAACGGCTCGTCATCCTCGTCGGCATCGGGATCCACATAATTGAACTGCTGTACGCCGTTCGACAGCGTCCGCGGCTTCCATTCCAGCTTGAGAAGCAGCTTGAAGAACTGATTCGAGAACCGAGTCGGGTTGTTCACCCAGGGACCCTCGAATCCGCTCCGATCCATATGGCACCGTCCCAGATTATGTCCGCCGGCTAGCGCAACGATCTCCTGGTCGTTGAATCCCATGCGGTAGAAGATGAATCGCAGGTGGTCGGCGCCCTGGGCTCCGTCGGGCAACCGGCCTCGTGGCGGCACCTTCGAGTCGTCGACTAGATCGGTCCGACCGGGCTTCCAGGGGACTTTGGGACCGCCCATCTCTTCGACGGCCACTACGCCGGCTAGCGTCCATAGGTCCGAATATGTGATCCAGGGGTTCTTTTCCTTCACCGGCTCCAAGAAGGCTCGTCCGTGTTGGAGACCTGCGTTGGCGGGGTCGCCTCCTTCGGCTTCGTATCGCATGCCGGCGCCATTCGAGCCGCCGGTGTCTGATTCAGCGTCGTAGGTACCTGCGGAGTGCCTGGAATGAAAGGTCTGTCAGTGGCAACTCCTATTGAAGAGGACGACCAACACAGTCATCGGCGGCGACAAAACCAACAAAAGAAAAGAAAAAGAAGACGAAAAACCTACCATGCCAAACGAACGAAAACCGGACCGGCGCTGCCGTCGTCATAATCGGGCTTCTTCAGTTGGGCGACAATGTCGCGTCGCACGGCGCTGTAATCCCCCGGGTTGCTCATCTCGGCCGATATTTTTCGTCCGGGGTAAACTGGCTCGGGTAGTGTGGGTCGGAGAAGGGGGCAAGATGCAGGAATTTCAGCACGACTGCGGTTGGGAGTCAAAGGCAGCAAACAGGCCAGGGGAATGAGAGAAGAATGACAAGAGAGTCCGGGGAAGGAAGATATGAGGAAGTGAGAAGTCTTTCAATTCGGGAGGCGTTGCCATTCTGCTTCCACATGAAGAGAGGCAAGAGTGGATCCGCGTTGCCGAATCAATATTTCTGGACATTTGGCCGACATCCAGATGCCGAGGTCCATTTGCCCTGCGCTGACTACACGTTACGGCTATTGTTATCGTCGTTGACAATTTTCTTTGGGCTTGATAAGAAACTATAAGTTCGAAATGTTTCTTCTGGGGTGATGTGACAACAATCCCCTTCCGTCTAGGACACTCCGCAACACCGCTGCCATACAAATCACCGGCAACATGGAAGTTCGTTTACTAATTCGGGGCTCGGAAAATTACTTGGAGTTGGCCCATCTGTTCTAAATTTGCGTCACTCAGGGTCTCCGATCTCGTCTCGTTTCCGCCTGGGGATATCCCGACCAAAAGCCGCCCAATGTGAAATATTAACCTCGGAACTTGGGTTCCCGATTATCGTTGGCCATTGGCACCAACGATTCCGAAAGATTGCTCAGCATTTGGTCTCGAACTAATCGATTCTTCCGATGACGAGGCTCTGGAATTTAGACTCTGCTAATATTTACATTTCAGCCATCTCTGGATCCGGGACAACCAACACTCAGTTGCATCACAAGATGGGTCCGGGCACATGGCTGGTTTTTAAGGTTGTCGCCACTTCTTTCCGCTGAGCGCTGATATCGTCGCTTGCGTGACTGGCTGTGGCTGATCCACTCATGTGAAGATGTTGAACTGTGGTTCGGTGCTTACAAACCGGGCTGGACTTAACCAATTCATTGAGATGGTGGCTAATGCTCTTGTAGGCATTGGAAATCTAGGGAACTTGACAAAAGCCCTACAGGCAGCGGTCAATTGTAATCAACACCCGCTCTTCATCGCATAGATGTCTACAGCGACACATAAAACTTCATCTTCTAGGAAGCCTAGTAGGCTCAATTCCTCACTGCGTCAATGCTTAGTATACATGATATCCAAGAAATATACCTCCTTAGCAGCTCTATCTCAGCCAACACCCTCTAACTAGAAATTCTGTCCCCTTCTATCCCAACCAATCTAATCCAATCCAATTCCACTGTACTGTACAATTTTACATCGAATTCCTCCTCATATTCTTTCTCAAGACAAACCGTCTAATTATCAACTCCCCTTCTATTGCCCCCTTTCTTCTCCTCGACTCCTTAAGATACCTCACCCTCTCTTTCCACCTCTTACACACCTTCATCGCCTTCCCCAACACCCCAACAAAACTCTTCCTCATCCACCGCCTCTCCTTCATCCATCGTATCCTTCTGCGCAAGGAGCGCCTCTCAACCCGACGCACTTGTCGCTCGAGGTCTCGGGAATGTCGTTCCTCGGTTCTCAGAATCTGCGCGATCACGTTCTCGATTGGTTGTGTGTGTTGCGGGCTTAGGATTTTTGTTTCTAGGAGGTGGCGGATTCGCCGGAAGGCGGTGGTCATGTCGGAGGCGGTGGCCTGGAGGATGCGTCGTTTTGAGCGGTTGGTGAGATTGAGGAGGGGGGTGGGGGTGGTGAGGAGTGTTGTCCAGTGGGAGGTTGTGCGTGGGCGTGGACGTCGGGGTGCCATGTTCCTTTATCTTCCTGGTGTCGATGGGATGGGATGGGTTGGATGAGCGTGGGGATGGGCTATAGGATGTGAGGGTATGTAGTATGGATGGTTGGATGAAGAGTAAGAAGAGATGTAGATGAGAGGTAGGAGGGGAGGGAAGGTGTAAATTAAATGTAGGATTAGCTGCGCAATGGTTGTTCTCTGCATATGCATGGAATGGGGGATGAATGATTGGATGGGTAGGTTTGTTTGATGGGATGTCATTTTGGTTGTTTGCGCATTTTTTTTCGACCTTTTCTTTTTGAATTCTTTATTTTTTTTTTATGCTGTGTTTGCGATGCATGGCTTCAGTGGACGGTCTATTGGCTAATGGGTTCTAGTAAGCTGGTCATACTATCCCACGGTCTATGGGATATTGACTGTCTGTTCGGATCGATTTCAAAATGACAACTGTATGGAACCGTGGTACTATTCACATTAGACAAAACAGATAAGGAAATACTGGTCGGACTCTAGACATTGAGAGAGTCCCAGCCCTACTCTACATCCACTCACAGATCATACAACAATCACAGAAACAGCACTCAGCCACAGACGCATGCAAGTATCCAGCCAATCTGTACACGCTCAAACCCATCCAGAGCAAATCAAACTTTCTGCTCTTTCAGGACCCGCACGATCGCATCCCCCACTTCCATTGTCCCCGCCTTCCCTCCCAGATCTGGCGTGCGGATACCTGCATCCAGCACCGTTCGCACGGCGTCTTCCACCCGGCGCGCTTCGGGTTCCATGTTCAGCGAGTAGCGGAACATGAGCGCCACGCAGAGGATCATGGCAACGGGGTTGGCGATGTTTTGGCCCGCGATGCTGTTTGTTTTTAGGGGATTATTAGTTTAAGCACTTGCATGAAAGAGGGGGTTCGCTTCTTAGACTAAAAATATATGAAAAAACACATGGACACATGGAAAAGGACAAATCAAAGGAAACGAGGTTTTCTGGAACCTGTAAACAAAGAGAAAAGGCAGGAAACTTACGTCGGCGCAGACCCATGCGTCGGCTCATACAATCCATTCGTCTTCTTCGTGTCTCCCGACCCACCTGGTAGTCCATCTAAACTGGCACTTGGCAAAACACCCAGCGTGCCGACGATCGAACCCGCCTGATCGGAAATCATATCTCCGAAGGTATTGTCGGCCAGGAGCACGCCGTTCAGGGCGCGCGGGTTCGTCGCAAGGATCAAAGACGCCGAGTCGGCGAGCTGGTGCACCAGCTTAACCTGGGGGTATTCGGTTGTTATAGTTCTCTCGACCACGCGACGCCAGAGCCGCGAGGAGGCGAGCACGTTGGCTTTGTCGAGCGAGATCACCGGCCAAGGGGGGTCGTGACGTAGAGCGATTTCGGCGGAGAGGCGCGCGATGCGTTGGATTTCGGAGGTGGAGTAGCCCCATTCGTCCATTGCTGGGAGGTAGATATTATTGTCAGTATAGGAAGCAAATAAGAACCACATAAGGGCTAGGTATATCCACCGTAATCATCATCCTCAACCTTCCGTCCAAAATACGCCCCTCCGCAATTCTCCCGGACCACCACGAAATCCACCCCCTCGATGATCTCATCCCGGAAGGGCGTAAACTCTCTGGACACGGCGCGACTCGGCGAATCCGCTGAGCAAGGTCGCAGGTTTGCATAGATGTCCATAGCCTTGCGCAGCTGCAGCAGACCCCCCTCAGGCCCGTCTAATCCACGCCGCGCATGGTCCCATTTCGGACCCCCGACCGAGGCGAAAAGCACCGCGTCCGACGACAATGCGGCCTGCTTGACGTCCTCCATGATCGGCTTGCCGTGTACGTCGATGCTGCATCCACCAATGAGTTCCTGGCGGAGGTTGAAGCGGAGAGCGGGCGAGGTGAACGCGTCCAGGACTTTGGTGGCTTCAGTCATGATTTCCGGACCGATGCCATCGCCGGGGAGGATGAGGATGTTGTATGTTGTGACGGTCATTTTGATGGGTTACCTTCAAGTTTGTTCGTGGTGTGGAGAGCAGGGGGAATTGGAGCGACGTGATGCCATCTTATACTTGGGACTGAATCATACAGCCTACTTCGGATATCGGCCATCAGCCCGATGTTGCGGGGAAAGTAACGTCTGAGGTACGGCTTTGCCCCGATTGTAGAGCCATTGATGTAGATCTGCACTTGGCGTGGGGTTTCGATGTATATCAGCTCAGCGAGAGCTTAATAGGCTAGGATTGGGATATACTTATTGTCTAGACTCTTCGTTGGTTGTCGCAATGCGGGGCTGTCAAGTCGGTCGCCATGTCGTGTTGTGTCAATCCCACCAGCACATGGACATGAACTCGACGAAGAGCATAATTGAGATATGGAACAGATGGAGATTAAGATAGATGTAACGCTTAGCATAAACTCCTTCAGTCGAGATGCAAACAGCCATCAACAGACTCCCCAAACGGGTAATGGCCAGGGCTAGCCCTACCCCTCGTGTTTGCACTGTTTGACAATCTTTATCGCGGATTTCTCGAAGATCCTCAGATCAAGTCCATCGCTATTACAACCCTCCAACACTCCACTTCATAGCCCTTCTCTCCCCAGATCCCCGTCATCATGTCGCGGGTCGAAGAGCTCCCCGATGACTTCGACGAGTCCATCGATATCAACAAGAACCCCCCGGAGACCGAAACCGCCCCGGCCGACGCACCCCTCCCCTTCACCGACGATGAGCCCAGTTTCCCAATCAACGAGGAGCGCTTGAAGGAGATGGAGCAGAAGGATCCGTTGGCTCCGAAGATGTCGCAGAACATGGCCTCGGTGCGAACGCATACGACGGATGAGTTGGCCGACATGATGAACAAGACCCCGCTGTTTATGACGGATATTAGTAAAGCGGGCGATGAGAGTGAGACTCCCCTTCTCGGTTTGGGGGTATCACAGTCGCGGAGAGCTGACTTACTAATTGGACTGCAGACGGGGAGAATATCATGCTGGATGCCATCCAGGCTATGAACAACGAGGGAACGCGCGGCGAGGTGGCCCAGAATTATCGGGAGCAAGGAAACGAGGCGGCCAAGGAGAAGAGATGGATTGATGCGAAGGAATTCTATACTAAGGCTATCGCCGTTTTGCTGGCCAAGGAAGACAAGTGGGATAAACCGGAGGATCCGAAGGAAGAGGAGAAGGTGAAGCGCCAGGTGGAGGAGGCTTCGTACATCAACCGCGCTTTGTGCAATTTGGAGCTTGGTAAGTGGATTTTATTGTCAACCTCATGCTCGCGATATCCCCCGTGCTGATTTACTACTACCAGGTAACTATCGGTCTACGACGCTCGATTGCGCCTCCACCCTCAAACTCAACCCCAAACACGTCAAGGCCTTCTACCGTTCCTCAATGGCGCTGTTCATGCTCGACAAGATCCCCGAGGCTGAAGATGTCGTGAACCGTGGGCTTGCTCTCGATCCGGAAAACAAGTCGATTCAGATGATAGGCAAGAAGGTTGCCGAGCGCAAGGCGGCTTTGGAGCGCATCGCGGCCAGAAAGAAGGCCGAGGCCGAAAAACTGCGCAAAGAAAACCAGATGCTGAGCACCGCCTTGCGAGCGAGACAGATCAGAACCCGCAAGACCGAGCAGCCGCCAGAGATGGAGGATGTCGGGATCTGTCTCACGCCTGACCCTCTCTCGCCGGAGAGCACTCTCGAATTTCCTGCGGTGCTCCTGTACCATATGGATGCGCAGTCCGATTTCATCAAGTCCTTCTCCGAGTTCAACTCCATTGAAGATCATTTGGAGTACATCTTCCCCCTGCCGTGGGATACTAAAAAGGAGTATACCATTGGCAGCGTGGAATGTTTCATGGAAACCGTCACGGGCGGGTTGATCAAGGCCGGGAAAAAGCTTCCGCTTTTGCAGATCCTCAGCGGAGGTAAGGTGGAGGTCGTGGACGAGCTGGTTCGAATCTACGTCGTGCCCACTTCCAAGACCGGCAAATTCATCGCGGAAATGAAGGCACGCAAAGATAGCTGAACTGTCTTTGACCTACATGCAAGCTCTCTCTAGTCAGAAGGGGACAATTTGCCTTTGATGGATTTAAGGTATCTCGTCCTGCAACTGACATCCGTCGGACACAACAAGCCCAGGTTGGTCGGTTCATCATGAGTACAGCCACACGAATGTCAGCAGACACTAAGGAGTATTCGCCATTCTCATGGCCACCAATGGGCTTTTTAACGCTCTGCTCGGCTTCGGTTCCTTGAAACCTGGTTAAGATGCCATTTTCATATCGGATTAGCCGGGAGCATGGGCCCGATACCGATGTGAAGAACGCCTCCTGTATATAGACCACGAATGAAATGGACCCAAAGAGCAGAAAATCTGTGACTGATACGGCCTCAAGCCACATATACTCATCATCCACACTAGCAAGCAGTCCTCTGCTGACTGTCATGGGCTCAGGCGGGGCTTCGGAACTACCTCCGTGAAACCATAAATCATGCATAACGCAGATTGCAGAGGCTTGTTCGTGGCATCATGGCATGACAGAAATCATCAGTCTGGAAGGCAGCAACAACCGCAGTATACCCGTACCCGTAAATAGCATGTTTTACCCAGTGGACCCACCGACATGGCCTCGATCGTTTTCATACGGAAATCGAAATTATAAATGCCTGGGTCGGTCATGGCGCATTGTAACCGCCGGTGTCGCAGGTTAATCAATAATCACCGGCGCTGGTCTGCGGCCTCATCTTAGTCCCAAACCAGCAATAACTACCGACCCACTTGACACCCGTTGGCGGATGAAGAATCTCCGCTATCCCTACTCACCCCATCTGTTTAGTTCAGCCTAAAATCCGCTAGCTCTGAGGAACAGGGGGTCACTAACTATCTAGGACCGATCGGGCACGGACGATGGCTAGACTGGCGAGCTAATATCCAGAAGCGCTCTTCCCGGAGATTGGACCTTTCTTTTCGAGGGTTCATCCGGACGGGTAAAACTCAGCGACATGGAACTGGTGGTCCTGCACTTCCTCGGCTTCTTCTCCGAGTCCCTGGATAATTTGACACAGGAAAAGCGGGGCGTTTATAAGAGATATGGACATCCCCTGTTTGTCGCAGGTGCTTGTTTCTTTACTGCTTGGTAAAATCGGTCGATGATCTTTGGAGTATCACAGCGGATTGTTCAATATGGTTCACCTTCCTTCTATTACCGCAGCTCTTGCTGTCGTCGCTCTTCCCCTGTACGTCCTCATGTATCTCTATCTCTGCTAACATTCAGAACATGCTGACTAGCGCAGAGCATCCGCCGCTGGTCTTCACGAGGCTGCCGTTGCTAAAGGACTGAAATACTTTGGCACGGCCACCGATAACCCCGAGCTTACGGATGTTCCGTACGTGACTCAATTGAACAACACCAAGGACTTTGGTCAGATCACGCCTGGAAACTCGATGAAGGTATGTCAGCTCCCTCAAATCCATGTCATAGACCGAGACTAACCCCAATGCGCAGTGGGACGCGACCGAACCTTCTCAGAACACCTTCAGCTTTGCGAAGGGCGATGTCATTGCTGATCTGGCTGAGGCCAATGACCAAGTGCTGCGATGCCATAACCTTGTCTGGCATCAGCAGCTGCCCAACTGGGGTATGGAATCTTGAACCCAGCTTAGCATCTGAAGCAAGTGCTGACATCTCATAGTCACCAGTGGATCCTGGACAAACGCCACCTTGACTGCGGCCCTGAAGAACCACATCACCAACGTTGTCAAGCACTACAAGGGTCGATGCTATGCCTGGGATGTTGTCAACGAAGGTATGAACCTCATCTTGCCAGAACCATCTCCCGATGTATGACCCGTCTCTAATGCATTCGCCCCTAGCGCTCAACGAGGACGGCTCGTACCGCGAAAACGTCTTCTACCAGACCATCGGTGAAGCCTATCTCCCGATTGCATTTGCCGCCGCTGCCGCCGCCGACTCCGACGTGAAGCTCTACTACAATGATTATAACATTGAATGGGCCGGCAACAAGGCCTCTGGCGCCCTCAAGATCGTCAAGCTGATCCAGTCGTACGGCGTGAAGATTGACGGAGTCGGTCTTCAGGGTCACTTCACCGTCGGCAACACCCCCAGCAGCAAGGATTTGGCCAGCACCTTGAAAACCTACACCGCGCTCGGAGTCGAAGTGGCCTACACCGAAATCGACGTTCGCATGGCGACCCCAGCCACCGACGCCAAGCTGGCCCAGCAGTCGACCGACTATCAGAACCTGGTCCAGGCTTGCGTCGACACCTCCAAGTGTGTGGGTTTCACCATCTGGGACTGGACAGACAAGTACTCCTGGGTCCCTAGCACTTTCTCCGGCCAAGGTGCCGCTCTGCCCTGGGATGAGGACTTGAACAAGAAGCCTGCCTATGCCGGTTTGCTGAAGGGACTTGGAGCCAGCGCGTCTGATTCCTCTTCCTCTTCCTCCGCTCCCTCGTCGTCTGCTCCCACCAGCACCACTGCCCCCGCTTCTTCTTCGACCTCCAGCTCCAGCACCGTCTCTGCGCCTCAGACCACCTCGACGAACGTTGCGGGTAAATGGGAGCAGTGCGGTGGCAACAGCTGGACCGGTCCTACCACTTGCGTTAGCGGCACGACTTGCAAGAAGCAGAACGACTGGTACTCACAGTGCCTGTAGATTAGGCTGTTTTGTTCCATAGCCGATTTACCGACCTGCTGGACCGTGTCTGCAGGCTATAAACCAGAAACCTGTTTTTAATTTCTCCGTTCCATATTACCAACCTTGTGTATATGTACAGTATGTATAATAATAGTGGTTAACCCACCATTTAAAACTCATCATGGAAATCGCATCTCGACATCATATGTAGGAGAGATCTCCCTCGCAGGATCGACCGAAGCGTGCCGGTTTCCCACTTTTTGGGGTCGCCCGCTGTACGTGGACCGATTAGGAAGCCTCCCTTCTTCCCCTTCGTTTCTTCCTTCTTTTCCCT